GAGAGGACTGGCCCTGACCCCTGCTCCTGTTGGGAGGTGGGGGAAGGGGTGTCCTGGCCCTGTCCCCCGGGGTACAGGGCAGATGTGTCCCTGCCCAGCCCCTGTGGGGCTCCAACAACCTGGGGGTGAGGAGAGGCCCCCTGGGCCCACTGTGGGTGCAGATAAGTCCCTTCACCGACCCGGGGGTGAGATAGGGCCCCCATTGCCCAGTGGGGGCGGGGCTGGGCAGGAAAACCCTGGAGATACAGGCTCTGGGGAAAACAAAGATATACCTACAGCTGCACCTGTGATATTTACTGATAAAAGAAGAACTAATAGACAATATCAGCCTTTCTCTTACCATGATATCAGAGAGATATGTAAAATACAACGTGAATTTGGCAAAAATAGTGAAATATTAAAAAGAATGATTAAAGCTACTTTAAAATCTCAGGAGTTCCCACTGACATCAAAGATTTCTTCAGGTGCCTAACACCCACTGAATTTGATTTTTGGGAAAGTTCATGGAGAAGATCATTAAAAGACCTCCTAGATAAACTCAAGCAAAGCATACAGGATGCAAAAGATGCAGAAAATAATGAGATTACTTTTGAACACCTCTGTGAGGAGGGGAGGTGGTCTAAGCCTGAAGATCAGACTCAAGTGCTAACAAAACCTATTTTAGATAAAATCTGTGAAGTAGCAGAAAAGGCTTATAATAAAATACCTACACTTGAAACCCAAGGCAGTTAATGTTAATATTAATCAACTCCCATCCGAGAGTTTCTTGCAGTTTGTAGACTGCCTCAGACCAGCAGCACAAGCAGAATTGATTAAAGAAATGGCTCAAAGAAATGCCAAGGCCTGCTGCAAAGTGATTTTAAATCTGCCCATCCATCCTCCACCCACCATAGCAGATATGATCCAGGTGTGCTCCAAGAAAGCAGATCAGTACAGTGCACATGACAAGAAACCAGGATCATTCACCCCAAGGAATGTAGCAGCTGTAACACCAGGGATGAACAAGCCACAGATGTCACCAGAATAGCTGCAGCACATCATGTGCTTCCAGTGCAAGAGGCCAGGACATTTCGCAAGGAACTGTCCTCAAACCCAGCAACAAAGGAAACACCACAAAGAAGCTATAACCAATCAACAAAAAAAGCGAATTTAAAGTGCCCTGCTGTCAGGCTCAAAGCCATAAATATGACAGACCTGAAACAGGAAAAAGACTCTATTTTAATGGGAAAAGGGGAGGAAAGGGAGCGGGGTGAGAGACTGCAGAAATATAATTGTGGGGAACGCTTGCCTAATAAGAACTGGCAACCGAAAAAGTGAGTCAGACTTGTAACTGCTAAAGCTTTTTGTTTCAGATCTAATGGATGGTCATTGGAGTGGACTTGCAGGACAATTCACAAGACCTGGCTGGACTGGATAGTAGGTATTTTGTTATTGGAGACACAGCACACACACCAATAGAGATTGAGGTGGCTCCCATGACAATTAAGGGAGACCTAACAAACCTCATTCTCTTGGCAATATGTCCTCAACCACCCTTCTATCTAGCCAAAGGGCAAATAATAGCCCAGGTAATCCTGTTCCAACAGAAGTCCCAGTAGATGACAAAGCACCAGGAGTATACAGGGCAGAAGTGGTGGGTGAAGACAAACCCATTATGGGGTGTAACCTGACACATAAATCAGAACATCTCCATATAGAAGGGTTAATTGACACTGGGGCAGATGTGACTATCATACCTGAAAAAGTGTGACCTTCACATTGGGAACTGCAATCCATGGCAGGCAAAATACAGGGTGCTGGAGGGGTGAAACTGGCAAAAATCTCTAAAGCTATTGTTCATATTGAAGGCCTGGAGGCCTGTCCATCCTTTTGTCACTGATTACAAGTGCCCACTGTGGGGAAGAGACAGACACCATGTCCCAATGGGGAGTGAAATTAACAATTCCTGAGACCCCCCAGGATTTTTAGAAGAGGCCACTGCAGAGTGTCCTACCCAAAAGCTATCTTTGGTAGATGATAATCCAATTTGGGTGAACCAGTGGCCTCACAGCAAACAGAAACTCGGGGTGCTAGAAAAACTGGTGGAAAAAGAATTGGCCAAGGGACACATAATAGAAACACCCAGCCCTTGGAATTCCCTGGTGTTTGTAATAAAAAAGCCAGGGAAGGATAAGTGGTGCCTTCTTCAGGATTTGAGAGAAATAAACAAAAAAATAGAGGACATGGGGTCTCTTCAACCAGGTAGGCTACCCCTGACTATGTTACCACAAAATTGGCTATTAGCAGTGCTAGATATTAAAGACTGTTTTTTCCAAATTCCCCTACACCCAGCTGATGCACCATGGTTTGCGTTTTCCATTCCCACAATTAACTGAGAAGCCCAAATGAAACAGTACCACTGGACAGTACTACCTCAGGGGATGAAAGCGATCCCTTTCATCTGCCAGTGGTATACGGGATCATTGCTGTCCCAAATGTGTGCTGAAAAAAGAGATGCCATCATTTTGCATTATATGGATGATGTGTTAGTGTGCTGTCGCAATAACAACATGCTGCAAGACACCCTTGACCTGCTGGTTAAAGATTTAACCTCTGCTGGATTCCAATTGCAGGAAGACAAAGTTCAAATGATGCCACCTTGGAAATACTTGGGCCTGGAAATCACTAAGCAGACTCTTTGTTCCACAAAAATTGGAAATCATTAGCAATCCTAAAACTCTAGCAGATCTCCATTCCCTATGTGGGTCACTAAAGTGGGTCCAACTCTGGCTAGGTCTCACTAATGAAGACCTGAGCCCCCTGCTCAATTTATTGAAAGGGGGGAGAGAACTGCTGTCTCCCAGGGAACTGACTCCAAAAGTAAAAAGTGCAATTGAAAAAGCACAAAGGGCCTTGACAGAAAGACAGGCACATCGCTTTAAAACTGAGTTGCCTTTCTAATTTACTGTCCTGGGGAAATTACCACACTTACATGGGTTGATATTCCAGTGGGCCAAGGAACTCTTAATAATAGAATGGGTCTTCCTCTCCCATCAATGAACCAAAACTATCACCAAGCCACAAGATTTTTTGTGGATCACACACAAGCTGATCCAAAAGGCCAGGGTAAGGCTGCGGGAACTGGCAGGTTATGACTTTATGTGTGTTCACCTGCCAGTCAGGCTCTCTGGAGAAGGCAAACACTCCCCTGAGAGACTGACCAAGGAGATGTTTGAGCATCTGCTGCAGAGCAATGCTAATCTCCAGTTTGCTCTGGACAGCTATAGTAGGCAAATTTTGATCCATGCACCTTCACACAAATTGTTTCATGAGGAATTCCACCTCATTCCTTGTGAGAAAAGGAGCCAAAGGCCACTCAAAGCTCTCACAGTGTTCATCAGTGTTCACTGATGCATCTGGGACATCCCACAAGACGGTGATGACTTGGAGAAATCCAGACTCAGCTTTGGGAAGCTGATGTTGAGTTTGTAGAAGAGTCACCCCAGATAGCTGAACTGGCTGCGGTCGTGAGAGCCTTTGAGAAGTTTTCATAACTGATTAATTTGATTACTGATTCAGCCTACGTAGCGGGAGTGGTGTCCAGAGCAGAGAAGGCAGTTCTCAAGGACATTGAGAGCAAACATCTCTTTAGATTGCTTTCAAAACTGATTTATTTGGTTTCAAATAGAGAACAACCTTTCTATGTGATGCATATAAGGTCGCATACCCTGTTACCAGGTGAAATCGCTGAGGGAAGCTGGAAGGCTGATTCTCATGCTGCCCCAGCTGAAAAGGTAGGTCTCTCAGATGTGTTCCAACAGGCAAAGATAAGTCACCAGCAATACCATCAAAATGTGCCAGGACTGATTCGTCAGTTCCAGCTGACACAGGATCAGGCTAAAGCCATTGTGGCTACCTGTCCCAATTGCCAGCTCCAGGCAGTGCCATCATTAGGCGTCGGGGTTAATCCCAGAGGCCTTGGAAGTTGTGAGGAGTGTGAGATGTCACTCACATTCCCAGTTTTGGTCGCCTTAAGTACGTGCACGTGAGCATTGATACATACTCAGGAGCAGTGTATGCCTCTGCTCATGCAGGAGAAAAATCTGTACATGCCAAACAACATTTAGTACAGGCCTTTTCTGTATTGGGAATCCCTAAGGAAATTAAAACAGATAATGGCCCAGTGTATAAATCCAAGGAGTTCCTGGAATTTGTCCAGCAGTGGGGAGTGGAACATAAAGCTGGCATCCCCCACTGCCCCACAGGTCAAGTGGTGACTGAGCGTACACACCAGACGCTCAAACAAGTCCTAGCCAGGCAAGGTAGCGAGGCAGTGTGGATGTCTCCCCAACAGAAACTCTGTAAAGCTCTGTTTACCATTAATTTCCTAAACTGCTCATTTGAAAACATGAATCCTCCTGTGACTCGGCATTTTAACAGTGGTGATCAGTTCAAATTGTCAGAGCGTCCACCAGTTTTAATCAGGGACCCTGAAACTTGGCAAGCCAAGGGTCCCTATGAACTTGTCACCTGGGGGCGTGGTTACGCGTGTGTATCCAACCCTACAGGCCCCCGATGGATTCCTCTAAAATGGGTAAAGCCTTTTGTTCCCAAAAACCCAGCCCCAGCAGCAGAAGAAGAGAGACAAGTGGCAGTCACTTCCAAAAGAAGATGCTGCCGGGAAAAACAAGAAGAAACCTTCCTAACCTCTGGTTGCTCTCTGAGCTGCATACATTGACTGAGAATATGTTTTAAAAATGTTTGTTTCTTTTCTTTTAGAAATAACCCACCTCACACTCAAACCCATGATGAGCCTTACCTCAGGTATCCTCCTGCTCGCTCTGAGCAGCCTGACCACTGCCTGGATCATCCCTCAGCCACAACAGAACATCTGGGTGACCCTGGCACACACACTTCAACAAGACAATATCTGCCTGTCCACTGCAGCAGCAAAAGACCCTATGTCCACCTGTCTGGTAGAAATTCCCCTGCAGGCTGAAGATTTTACAGCCAGCTTTAGTGATCCCAAGTTTAATACAATTCCTAAAACACACAGTGACCAACCACAAGAAAATCGTAAACAGCGAGCTGTGGCAGTGAAAAATCTTATAGAAAAGTGGTTACCAGTACTGCCCAGAGCTAATAAAGAGCCCCAAGAGCTATTAGGCTCTTCCCCTGCACCCTTCTGTGTTCACTTCATTTACAACTCACTGCCAGACACAAAACTATACAATCACATAATCCAGTATCGAAAAAATACAAAGCAAAACAATGGTGTGGTGCGCTAAGTCAGGTCTTAGTGGATGATCCTCGCCATTCACATCCAAGAATCCTCCCTAAAGGTATATTTCTAATATGTGGACATAAAGCATGGGCAGGAGTCCCATCACGAGGGGGGGCCTTGCACTTTTGGGAGGCTGTCCCTGTTTGCACCCAACCAAACCCAAATTATTAGATAGACTAAGAAAGACAATTCGACTCATGTGATATTTTAGACTCAGACTGTGATTCAGATATATTTCACTGGGCAAAATCAAAAAGGGTTGCTGCATCCATATTTCTTCCATGGGTTGCAGCTGCCAAGGCACTAGATGAATTAGGACAGCTTGAGTGCTGAGTGATTAAACAGGCCAACTTAACATCAGCTGCCCTCAGCTCCCTCCTCAAAGATGAAGAGATTACCAGACAGGCCACACTCCAAAATCAGGCTGCCACAGATTTTCTTCTGCTGCTGCATGGACATGAATGCCAGGAATTTGAAGGACTTTGCTGCCTAAACCTGTCCTCAAAAGCTCCCAACATCCACGGAGCCCTCCGAGAGATGAAGAACTTGATCGGACAAGTGAAGCAAGAAGCTGAGGACTGATTTAGTGAGCTGTTCAAAGGCTGGGGACTCACAGGATGGTGAATCTTGATAATCAAAACAATCTTGTTGTTTTTTGTTGTTCTGTTTCTAATCATGCTAGCATTTGGGATTGTCTGTTGTTTAGTTTTAAAAGCTCTCAAAAAATTAGTCTCTGCTAACTCAGAGATTAACTGCATAGACCTAGCGGACCAGAAGCAACTTAACCGGCCCGTCAATCACGAGTGCTGGACAAACTCATGACCTGTATCAAAATGATCTGATAACCCTTCAAAAAATTTTATATGGTAAGAAAGAGTGAGATGTTGTAATGCAGTTAGGAAAAATGGTATGACCCAAAAGAATGTACCCCCAAAAATGTAGAATTGTAAGTTTCTTTTCCTTATCTTTTTCTCCCCAGTTTCCCTTATGTGTGAATTCCTCCCACCCCTTTCCCCCTGCCTTAAAAAAGGGGTGCTTATCAGTACCTCTTCCTCTTTCCCTCCTGCTACCTCACTCTGTAGGATCCCAATAAATAAAGCTGTAACTGCCATCTCAGCAAAGGGAAAGACCCTTGTTTTTAGGTTCTTCTTTG